ACCCCCAACCCCCACCCCCCCCCCCCCCCCCCAAAAACACCACCCCCCCCCACCCCCCAAAACCCCCCCAACCCCCCCCCCCCCCCCCCCCCCAAAACCCCCCACCCAACCCCCAACACCCCCCCCCAACCCCTACCCAACCCCCCCCCCCCCCCACCCCCAACAACAAAACCCCCCCCCCCCCACCCCCCACCCCACCCCCCCCCCCCCCCCCCCCCCCCACCCCCCCAACCCCCCCCCCAACCCCCCCCACCCCCCCCCCCCCCCCCCCCCAACCCCCCACCCCCCCCCCCACAACCCCAAAAAACCCCCCCCAACCCCCCCCCAAAAACCCAACCACACCCCCACCCCCCAAACCCCCCCCCCCCCCCCCCCCCCACACCCCCCCCCCCAACACACCCCCCCACCCCCACCCCCCCCCCACCCCCCCCCCCCCACCCCCCCCCCCCCCCCCAAAAAAAACCCCCCAAACCCCCACCCCCCCCCCCCCCCCCCAACCCCCCCACCCCCCCCCAAACCCCCCCAACCCCCCAACCCCCCCCACCCCCCCCCCAAACCCCCACCCCCCAAACCAACCCCCCCCCCCCCCCCCCCCCCCCCCCCCCCCACCCCCCCCCACCCCCCCCCCCCCCCCCCCCAACACCCACACCCCCCCACCCCCCCCCCCCCAAAAACCCCCCCCAACCCCCAAACCAAACCCCCCCCCCAAAAACCCCCCCCCCAAACCCCCCCCCCCCACCCCCCCCCCACCACCCCCCCCCCCAACACACCCCCCAAACCCCCCCCCCACAACCCCCCCACACCCCCCCCCCCCAAACCCCCCCCCCCCCCCCCCCCCCCCCAAAAAACAAACCCCCAACAAACACACCCCCACCCCCAAACCCCCCCCACCCCCCCCACCCCCCCCCCCACCCACCCCCCACCCAACCCACCACAACCCCACAACCACAAAACCCAACACACCCAACCCCCCCACCCCCCCCCCCACACCCCCCCCCCAAAACCAAACCCCCACACACACCCCAAAACCAAAAACCCCCCCCCCCACCCCCAACACCCACCCCAAACCCAACAAACCCCAAACCTACCCCCAACACACCCCCAAAACCCAACACCCACCCCCCCCCCCAACCCCCCCCCCCCCCAAAAACCAACCCCCACACCCCAACCCCCCCACCACCCCACCACCCCCCCCCAACCCCCAACAACACCCCCCCCCCCCCCCCCACCACCCCCCCCCCCCCCCCCCCCCCCAAAAACCCCCCCCCCACCAAACCCCCCACCCACACCCCCCCCCCCAACCCCCCACCCACCCCCAAACCCCCCCCCACCCAAAAAACCCCCCAAAAAACCCAACCCCCCCCACAACCCAAACAAAAAACCCAAACCACCAAAAAACCCCCCAACCCCCCCCCAAAAACCCCCCACCCCCAACACACCCCCAACCCCCACCCACCCCCCCCCCCCCCCACCCAACACAACCCCCCCCCACCCCCCCCCCCCCAACCCCCCCCCCCCCCCAACCCCCCCCAAAAAAAAACCCAACCACACAAACACCCCACCCCACCACCACCCACCAACCAAACACAACAAAAAAACCCAACCACAAAACCCAAAACAACAAACCCCCACCCACCAAAAACCCCCACCAACCCCCCCCCAACACACCCCAACCCAAAACCCCCCCCCCCCCCCCACCCCACACACCCAACCAAACCAAAAACCCAAACCCCCACACCCCCCAAAACCCAACAACCCCCCAACCCCACACCTACCCCCAACCACCACACAACCCCAACAAACCCACCCCCCCCCCCCACCCCCCCAAACCCCCCCCCAAAAACCCACCAAACCCACAACCCACCAAAAACAAACCACCCCAAAACACCAACAAACCCCCCCCACAAAAAACCCCTCCCCCACCCCCCCACCCCACCCCCAAAAAACCAAACCCACCCAAAACCCACCCAACACCAACCCAACTACCCCCCCCCCACCCACACCCCAACCCAACAAACCCCCCCCCCCACCCCCCCACCCCCACAAAACCCAACCCCCCCACCCCCACCCCCCCAACCAACCCCCCCCCCCCCCCCACAACCCCCCCCAACCCACCCCCCCCACCACAAACCCCCCAACCCCCAACAACCCCAACCAAACAAACACCAACAACACCCCAACCCCAAAAACCAAAAACCCAACCACCCCCCAACCCCCCCCCCCCCCCACCCCCCCCCCCCACCCAAACCAACCCCCCACCCAACCCCCCCCCCAAAAAACCCCCCCCACCCAACCCCCACACCCCCCCCCAACACCCCCCACCACACCCAAAAAACCCACCCAACCACCCCCCCACCCCCCCCCCAAAAAAAAAACCCACCAAAACAAAAACACCCCCCAAAACCCCCAAACCCCCCCCCCCCCCCCCCAACCCCAAAACAAACCCCCAAAAAAAAACACCAACCACCCCCCCCCACAACCCAACCCAACAAAACCCCCACAAAAAAAAAACCAAACACCCCCAACCACCCACCCCCCAAAAAAAAAAACCAAAACAACAACCCCCCCCCCCCCACCCCCACAACCCAACCCCAAAACCCACCCACAAACCAAAAACCCCCACCCACCAATACCCAACAAAAACATCCAACAAACCCACCCCCCCAACAACACCCCCTACCCACCACACCAAAACACAAACACCCCCAACCAAACCCCCCACCACCACAACCCCCAACCAACAAAAAACCCCCCACCCACCACACCCACAACACCCACACCCACCCCCCACCCCCACAAACACCCAACCCCCCACCACCCAAAAAACCCACCAAAACAAAAAAAAAAACAACCACAAAAACAAACCCCCCCAAAAAAAACACAAACCCAAAACCCAACCCACACACATTACCCAACACAACCCCCAAAAAAAAAAACCAAAACCCCAAAACCCAACCAACCAACCCAAACCCCACCACATTACCCAACACAACCCAACCATCCCCACAACCCCCCCCCCCAACCCCACCCCCAAAAAAAAAAACACAACAATCCAACCAAACCCAACACAACAACAAACCAAAACCCCCCCCACCCCCCCACACCACCCCCCCCCCCCAAAACCCAACACCAAACAACCACCCAACCCCAACCACCCACCCACACCCAACCCACCCCCCCCCACCTACCCCCAACAAACCACCCCAAACCCCAAACAACCCACCAACCAAACAAAAACAAACACCAAATCAAACATAACCACCCATGTCTGCTCCTTGGGAAGGTCACGTGGCTTCTCCATTGGAAATGATCACATGTCTGCTCCTTCGGAAGGTCACGTGGCTTCTCCATTGGAAATGATCACATGTCTGCTCCCTGGGAAGGTCACGTGGCTTCTCCATTGGAAATGATCACATGTCTGCTCCCTGGAAAGGTCACGTGGCTTCTCCATTGGAAATGATCACATGTCTGCTCCCTGGGAAGGTCACGTGGCTTCTCCATTGGAAATGATCACATGTCTGCTCCCTGGAAAGGTCACGTGGCTTCTCCATTGGAAATGATCACATGTCTGCTCCCTGGGAAGGTCACGTGGCTTCTCCATTGGAAATGATCACATGTCTGCTCCCTGGGAAGGTCACGTGGCTTCTCCATTGGAAATGATCACATGTCTGCTCCCTGGGAAGGTCACGTGGCTTCTCCATTGGAAATGATCACATGTCTGCTCCCAGGGAAGGTCACGTGGCTTCTCCATTGGAAATGATCACATGTCTGCTCCCCGGGAAGGTCACGTGGCTTCTACATTGAAAGTGATCACATGTCTGCTTCCAGGGAAGGTCACGTGGCTTCTCCATTGGAAATGATCACATGTCTGCTCCCAGGGAAGGTCACGTGGCTTCTCCATTGGAAATGATCACATGTCTGCTCCCTGGGAAGGTCACGTGGCTTCTCCATTGGAAATGATCACATGTCTGCTCCCTGGGAAGGTCACGTGGCTTCACCATAACTTTTCATATGAAACCTATCTTTCTATCATCGAGCTCACCAATGGATTTGGTTGACAGACATTCCTCATTCATCTGACACAATATAAGCCACAAGAACCACAGATCACCTAACGTTCGATTAACCAGCCAGCTGTGGATCAGATTCATCCATACACTAGGATATCAGGATTCGGTGTATCCCAACGGTCAGCGAATGAGCACAATGCAGGATCTGACTAGGAACAACAGAAGCCGTCCATCACCTTACCTGCAATCCCAACAGGCAGTTCATATAGAGTAGACCTTTATAGACCAATAGATTCGCCGCACAACCTCCCACGTGCCACTGACACCAATTCTATCAAATGTCCCTTTACAACACCTCCCCACAACCTCAGATTCTTCCAGCACAGTCAGATTAGCAGCAGATGACTTCTGATTGGTTGCTATGGGTTACGGCACCACATATCTTGTAACCTACAATTTCTTTTCCAGCGTTCTGCCTCCATCTCCGAGCAAAACCTTCACGAACAAGTCGAATATATCGTGCACTCGTGGTATTCTGAAGGGGATCAGCTGAGGAGACAATACAAGGATTACCATTTCGTATCTTGGGATCTGTGTGTAGAAGATCCCCCCCCACCAGAATAGAACCTATGAACCACATCCCTGGATATGATGGAGGCATCTACCATAAATGACCCCCCAAACCCAAAGTCTGACCCCTCACCTGGTGTCCGGCCTCCTCTAGAAGCTTCTTGGTCTCCAGCAGAATGCGCCTCATACTGGGGTTTGGCTGGAAGAATCCGTCTTCCTCATAGAATCCGATACGGAGATGCGTATTACTGGAGAACGTCTACAAAAGACAAAGTGCGGTTGCTGTGCTGGTCGGTGATACCTGAGTGGTCTATCCTCAGCACCATCAGCCACCCAATCAGTGGACTGATATGAGACCCACAAGTCATCCTGTGCCGAGGATGGTAGAATAAGACCCACCTGGAGATGAAGTCTACTTACCTCCTCATTGAAGTAGATGGGGGGAACATTGGGGTCCAGGCGGAACATCTCATCACACAGCAGAGCTCTCATAGCCAGAACCAGACCGTCCACATCTTGTGCCATCGGACCGATGCATGTAGACACTGAAATGTGGGAAACCCAGGAAATGTGACCCCAACACCCCAAATGGAGGTCAAAAACCTGACCCAGCCAACACACTGGGCCTGAAATCACATGAGACAACCAATCCTTCTACCAGTCCTGATCTACAGCAGCCAACATGAGTCTCATCTACGGTGACATGAGTTGGAAGGAGCGCAGAGTCATGTGACATGAGTTGGGAAGGAGTGCAGTCATGTGACATGAGTTGGGAAGGAGTGCAGTCATGTGACATGAGTTAAGAAGGAGCGCAGTCATGTGACATGAGTTGGAAGGAGCGCAGTCATGTGACATGAGTTGGAAGGAGCGCAGTCATGTGACATGAGTTGGAAGGAGCGCAGAGTCATGTGACATGAGTTGGAAGGAGCGCAGAGTCATGTGACATGAGTTGGAAGGAGCGCAGAGTCATGTGACAAGAGTTGGAAGGAGTGCAGTTATGTGACATGAGTTGGAAGGAGCGCAGAGTCATGTGATATGAGTTGGAAGGAGCGCAGAGTCATGTGACATGAGCTGGGAAGGAGTGCAGTCATGTGATATGAGTTGGGAAGGAGCGCAGTCATGTGATATGAGTTGGAAGGAGCGCAGAGTCATGTGACATGAGTTGGGAAGGAGCGCAGAGTCATGTGACATGAGCTGGAAGGAGCGCAGAGTCATGTGACATGAGCTGGGAAGGAGTGCAGAGTCATGTGACATGAGTTGGGAAGAAATGCAGTCATGTGATATGAGTTGGGAAGGAGCGCAGAGTCATGTGACATGAGTTGGGAAGGAGCGCAGAGTCATGTGACATGAGTTGGGAAGGAGCGCAGAGTCATGTGACATGAGCTGGGAAGGAGCGCAGAGTCATGTGACATGAATTGGAAGGAGCGCAGAGTCATGTGACATGAGAGGGGAAGGAGTGCAGTCATGTGACATGAGTTGGAAGGAGTGCAGAGTCATGTGACATGAGTTGGAAGGAGCGCAGAGTCATGTGACATGAGAGGGGAAGGAGTGCAGTCATGTGACATGAGTTGGAAGGAGTGCAGAGTCATGTGACATGAGTTGGAAGGAGCGCAGAGTCATGTGACATGAGTTGGGAAGGAGCGCAGAGTCATGTGACATGAGCTGGGAAGGAGCGCAGAGTCATGTGACATGAGAGGGGAAGGAGCGCAGAGTCATGTGACATGAGTTAGGAAGGAGCGCAGAGTCATGTGACATGAGTTAGGAAGGAGCGCAGAATCATGTGACATGAGTTGGGAAGGAGTGCAGTCATGTGACATGAGTTGGAAGGAGTGCAGAGTCATGTGACATGAGTTGGAAGGAGCGCAGAGTCATGTGACATGAGTTGGAAGGAGCGCAGAGTCATGTGACATGAGCTGGGAAGGAGCGCAGAGTCATGTGACATGAGCTGGGAAGGAGCGCAGAGTCATGTGACATGAGTTGGAAGGAGCGCAGAGTCATGTGACGTGAGTTGGGAAGGAGTGCAGAGTCATGTGACATGAGTTGGAAGGAGCGTAGAGTCATGTGACATGAGTTGGGAAGGAGCGCAGAGTCATGTGACATGAGCTGGGAAGGAGCGCAGAGTCATGTGACATGAGTTGGGAAGGAGAGCAGAGTCATGTGACATGAGTTGGAAGGAGCGCAGAGTCATGTGACATGAGCTGGGAAGGAGTGCAGAGTCATGTGACATGAGTTGGGAAGGAGCGCAGAGTCATGTGACATGAGCTGGGAAGGAGCGCAGAATCATGTGACATGAGTTGGAAGGAGCGCAGAGTCATGTGACATGAGTTGGAAGGAGCGCAGAGTCATGTGACATGAGCTGGGAAGGAGCGCAGAATCATGTGACATGAGTTGGGAAGGAGAGCAGAGTCATGTGACATGAGTTGGGAAGGAGCGCAGAGTCATGTGACATGAGCTGGGAAGGAGCGCAGAGTCATGTGACATGAGTTGGAAGGAGCGCAAAGTCATGTGACATGAGCTGGGAAGGAGCGCAGAGTCATGTGACATGAGTTGGAAGGAGCGCAGAGTCATGTGACATGAGTTGGGAAGGAGTGCAGAGTCATGTGACGAGTTGGGAAGGAGCACGGGGTCATATGACATGAGGCTGCAGACACGGCACACACATACAGGAGTAATCAGAGCAGTACTGTCCGCATTTCACTTGAGGTGGACCCACCTGCCGTCATTCCATCCACAGATGGGCGGACGCCACGAATACTAGAAAAGAAGGCGGAGTTTAGATTTCATCCCAAATTCCAATAGGGCGATTAATTACTGGCATTGCTGTCATTGGCTCACCTCAGTCTGGTTGGTGACGGCTTGAACCCAGCAATTCCACAGAAGCTGGAAGGCAATCGGATACTGCCACCAATATCTGTTCCAATTCCTAGAATGGAGCCTCCTCCTCCAATCAGGGCCCCTTCCCCTCCTGTGGAGCCCGCACAGGCCTTGGCCTTGTTGTGGGGGTTCAGGGTCATCCCATAGGTGGGGTTACTGGTCTCAATGCTAGAAATCAATAAAAAGATGCATTATTTGTACACCAATGACCAGTGCAATGTGATTGATGTCTATGGGTTCCTGAGCTCCGCCATTGGCTGGTCCTCACCAGATCAGGCTCTGCGCCACGTTGGTCTTGGCGAACACAATGGCTCCTTGTTTCTTCAAGACTTTGACGATGACGCTGTCCTCCTCCTCCAGAACATCCAGATACTGAGCCAGGCCACATGTGGAGGGGTGACCCTGGAATCCCAGAGAGGACTGTTAGGATCCTCCATCCCAGGACAGGTCGGTCAGGAGGACATTAGAAGCTTCTCTGAGGACAATCTGAGGCTGCCAAGGATCCCGAACCCCATGAAAGGCTGGTCAGGAGAACAATGGAAACTTCTCTGAGGACAATCTGAAGGGCACCACAGACCTCCCATCCCAGGACAGGACAGTCAAGAGGACAATCTGAGAGTGTCAATGATCCCCCTCCCCAGGACAGGACAGTCAAGAGGACATTCTGAGGACAATCTGAAAGTGTCAATGATCCCCCTCCCCAGGACAGGACAGTCAGAAGGACATTCTGAGGACAATCTGACGCTTCCAAAGATCCCCCACCCCAGACAGGCCAGTCAGGAGGACGTTCTGAGGACAATCTAAGGCTTCCAAGGATCCCCCACCCCAGACAGGCCAGTCAGGAGGACATTCTGAGGACAATCTGAGGCTTCCAAGGATCCCCCACCCCCCAGGAGGACGTTCTGAGGACAATCTGAGGCTTCAAAGGATCCCCCACCCCAGACAGGCCAGTCAGGAGGACGTTCTGAGGACAAATCTGAGGCTTCCAAGGATCCCCCACCCCAGACAGGCCAGTCAGGAGGACATTCTGAGGACAAATCTGAGGCTTCCAAGGATCCCCCACCCCAGACAGGCCAGTCAGGAGGACTGAGGCTTCCAAGGATCCCCCACCCCAGACAGGCCAGTCAGGAGGACATTCTGAGGACAATCTGAGGCTTCCAAGGATCCCCCACCCCAGACAGGCCAGTCAGGAGGACATTCTGAGGACAATCTGAGGCTTCCAAGGATCCCCCACCCCAGAACAGGCCAGTCAGGAGGACATTCTGAGGACAATCTGAGGCTTCCAAGGATCCCCCACCCCAGACAGGCCAGTCAGGAGGACATTCTGAGGACAAATCTGAGGCTTCCAAGGATCCCCCACCCCAGACAGGCCAGTCAGGAGGACATTCTGAGGACAATCTGAGGCTTCCAAGGATCCCCCACCCAGACAGGCCAGTCAGGAGGACATTCTGAGGACAATCTGAGGCTTCCAAGGATCCCCCACCCCAGACAGGCCAGTCAGGAGGACATTCTGAGGACAATCTGAGGCTTCCAAGGATCCCCCACCCCAGATAGGCCAGTCAGGACATTCTGAGGCTGAGGCTTCCAAGGATCCCCAGGCCAGTCAGGAGGACATTCTGAGGAGGACATTCTGAGGACAATCTGAGGCTTCCAAGGATCCCCACCCCAGACAGGCCAGTCAGGAGGACATTCTGAGGACAAATCTGAGGCTTCCAAGGATCCCCCACCCCAGACAGGCCAGTCAGGAGGACATTCTGAGGACAAATCTGAGGCTTCCAAGGATCCCCCACCCCAGACAGGCCAGTCAGGAGGACGTTCTGAGGACAATCTGAGGCTTCCAAGGATCCCCCACCCCAGACAGGCCAGTCAGAAGGACGTTCTGAGGACAATCTGAGGCTTCCAAGGATCCCCCACCCCAGACAGGCCAGTCAGAAGGACGTTCTGAGGACAATCTGAGGCTTCCAAGGATCCCCCACCCCAGAGAGGCCAGTCAGAAGGACGTTCTGAGGACAATCTGAGGCTTCCAAGGATCCCCCACCCCAGAGAGGCCAGTCAGAAGGACGTTCTGAGGACAATCTGAGGCTTCCAAGGATCCCCCACCCCAGACAGGCCAGTCAGGAGGACGTTCTGAGGACAAATCTGAGGCTTCCAAGGATCCCCCACCCCAGAAAAGCCAGTCAGGAGGACATTCTGAGGACAATCTGAGGCTTCCAATTTAGAATGTATTTTGCTGTAGACAATTTTTAAAGAAAATAGGCAATTTAAACACATTCTAGACCCCTCACCATAAAAACATGGCCCCATTGGAGCATCTGTTCCTGGAACTCTTCCTACCAACACTAAGTCCTTCCCTGAAGAGCTAACACTCTAATCACAGGCGGGCTTTTGTATCATTCTATAATGTATATTTCATGTGATTGTATGTTGATATAACTACCTGGTAGCTGACGTGCTCCTTTATCGACATGGGGACCCCGTACAGAGGGCCCCTCTCCTCGTTCTCTTGCAGTTTCTTGATCTGAGTTTCACAGTCAGACATGAAGACAGTCACACAGTTCAGATCATTATGTACTTCAAGAGCCTGTTGAGAAATACGGTAGACATTATGCACCATCTCCTAGTGTAGAGGAGTCCCTCCTTATCCACTTTGCCCAGCAGTGGGTGTGGGTCCCTTTAATTCCTTTGCCCGATTATTGGACACACCCAGGGGCTAGAAGTTCCACTGTTTTCTGGCGTCCCCCCGCTGATACACCATGCCTGATGGGACAACAGTGAACCAACGTTAGAGGTCACCAGTTGGGGAGTCTTCTGCTGCTCCTGGCATGAGGGCCACCTGGTGAGAGTACAAGAGCATGAGGCTTCATATGCAGGCATGGAAATTTTGTATCATGGTCGAACTTTAAATGTGTCATGTATTCGTGTTATTCATATGTCTCTCGTGTGGCTTAATTAAAGCTCTGAAGGCTGCAATTGGGCCATGCGCATGTACAATGTATGTATTACAGTACTCGGCTTGGTAATGGATGAGATGGCAGATCTGCGCTTATAGACCGGCGTGTATACCACCACGGCATTCCATGCAAATGCTGCTGTCAGTAGATCGTGGGCCTGTATCCACATATCACAGCATGGTACCCCACGTGGGCTTCATAACGCAATGCGCAAGCGGTGTGAACTCCACGTGTAGGCTTATGCATATCTTACACCCATTACCAACTTGAAACTGTATCTTGATGGATGTGTTTTAATAAAGATCGTATCGGGCCCATCCAGGTACAGACTTCAGGGAGATGCATTGTGCAGAGACTTTACATACCAATGCTTAGGAGGAAATATACCTCAGATGGCTCATTAGTCTGCTGACCTCAGACCATTCATGGGGGAGGACCAGTGATAGATAATAGCAAAGGCTATGCTCCAATTGGAATGTATATCCTCTGTATAGGCAATCCCCATTGTATTGTTCGGTGGGAGGGATTGACTTTATTCATGTGGGGGGCATGTGTGTATTCTTAATAAAACAGAGAGCTGATGGGCCTAAAATCAGCCCTTATGTGGATTGCAACCAGCCTTAGAGTGTCGTGTGATCATTCCAGGGTAACGGAGCTCCATCACCCACAAATTCAACAGAACCAAAGTTATTTGGATGGGCAGGAATCGTGTAGTTTGCTGCTGCAGTCGTGAGGGATTCGCACAGCTGGGGGATTTCTGCGCATCCAACTGCGAGTACTCACGGTAAGAGAAATTCGTTAAAGCGAATTTCCATAGACAGCCCCAGTCACTGTGGGGGGCCCTGTGTTAGTTGGCATCAGAATGCTGCCTTTCCAGCAGGGTGGCCCTGTATCTTCTGCCACCTCCTTGTACACCCACCCCAGGAACATCTACCACTACCTGGACATCCAGACCAGAGACTCCTCCCACTTCACCACTCTAGTGCCTGTACAGAGATCCCTGTGGAGCCTGTCTGGAGATCCCCATGGGTGGAGCCTGTCTTGAGATGCCTGTGGGTGGAGCCTGTCCTGGACCCCCCCATGTGGGTGGAGCCTGTCCTGAGATCCCCATGGGTGGAGCCTGTCCTGGACTCCCCCCCCCCCAGGGAACTGTTTGCACCAGACTGTACTACTCTGTTATTCTGCACTGTACTGCCTCCTAGTGGGGACTCCTCCTGGGCAGCCTTGTCCTACAATAACGTCACCGCCTGTTCTGCTTCGTCTTCTGCTTGTTTCTTGGCCCCGTAGGGAGCTGCTATCCTTTTCTTTGCATGTATTCAGCTTTGGATGGAGGCCTTGCCAGCCTGAGTGTAGGTAGGTTGCCTCCAGGTGTATTTATATAGATAGTTGGCTGGCTGGCCCAGGCCGAGGGGGAAGAGTTCATGTGAGTACTTCATAGTTCCATAGTTAGTCTGGCTGAAAAAAGACAAAAGTCCATCCAGTTCCACCATAAAAAAAAAACAAATCCTCCCCCACAGTGTCCAGAGGAACGTATAATCCTCCCCCCACAGTGTATCCAGAGGAAGGCAGAAGTTATAATCCTCCCCCCACAGTGTATCCAGAGGAAGGCAGAAACTCAGCAAAACACGATCCAATCTCCTCCTGCAGGGGAAACAATTCCAGTTGTGTTCTTTTTGGATCCAGCCAGCCCACTTGTGATATATAAAGGGGGTCCAGGCTTCTTGGCCCGCTCTTGGACACACATGCTATGACTGCATTGGAGGAGGACCAACCAAAATAGCTGCACTGCTCAAGGTAGGTCCTCAAACCCCAATAGGACAGAACCAATACCAGGTGCAAACTCAGCTCGGCACCGAGAGAACGTAGGACAAGTAGGATGGCTGCATTGGAGAAGGACTGCTGCACCTTGCAGTCCGTTGGAGGCACCAGGGGCCCGGAGAACATCACCACTACCTTTGTGAGGTACGCCTGGGCAGCCAGCTAGAGGTGGTTAGGGACATATGTGACTCTTCATGTCGGATTGTATTGTGGAGTTCTTCAGTTGGATCACCTGTCCAGAACCTGGTCTAGTTGTGTTGGTTCTGGCGTATCTGAAGATCCCGGATCTGTAAAGCACATGTGGGGGATGAAGCTCAGCTACTACAACAGGTCTACTCAGCAGGTCAAGCAAGAGAAGCAGTGTAGTTGCCATGGGTAACCAAGCACTAGTTCAGGACACAATGCAACCAATAACTAGCCGTAGCACCTGGTAGAGGTGACAGGTCCTCCAGTGGGGGGGGGGGGGGGGGGATCAGTAACCCGGCTCCCTCCCCAGCAGTTGGCATCTAGTAGGAACCAGAACTGAACCTACGTTATGGAGAGCCATGGCCTGGTCACATAGCTACGGGAAGGAAAGAATGAATAGGTCCAATCATGAGGTCAGCGCTAGGTGCACGATGGGACCCCATTCTGGTACTGGGAGGTAACAGAGGTACGCTGGATTGGTGGAGAGGGCAGATGCTCAGCAGCGTCCCTTCTAATCCTCATCCCTAAGTCGGGGAGCTGCCTTAATGTCCCAGCCTGGTCCTGGGCGTTGGTGAGCATGTGCACAGCAAAAGGTACCCCCGTTAGAATCCCTGTTGGAGGTCTGGGATATCCTAGAAGTAGAGACAGAATTGTACATCCAGACCAGAAGCAGAGACTATTAGTCTAGTGTTCCTGTGTTCTGATCTCAGAGTCTCTGCTGTTGGTATACAATGCCCAATAGTTGGGTCTGCGCTCCTCTGAGAGTAGTGGCCACCTTCCTGTACAGTGCAGGAAATGTGTATTTGCCCCCCCCGATGCTGAATGTTCGCCCCTCACACAGAAACGATCGGTCTAACAATGGAATGTTCGCTCCTCACACAGAAATGATCGGTCTAACAATGGAATGTTCCCCCCCCCCCCTCACACAGAAACGATCGGTCTAACAATGGAATGTTCGCCCCTCACACAGAAACGATCGGTCTAACAATGGAATGTTCACCCCTCACACAGAAACGATCGGTCTAACAATGGAATGTTCGCCTCTCACACAGAAACGATCGGTCTAACAATGGAATGTTCGCCTCTCACACAGAAACAATCGGTCTAACAATGGAATGTTCGCCCCTCACACAGAAACGATCGGTCTAACAATGGAATGTTCGCCCCTCACACAGAAACGATCGGTCTAACAATGGAATGTTCGCCCCTCACACAAATGATCGGTCTAACAATGGAATGTTCGCCCCTCACACAGAAATGATCGGTCTAACAATGGAATGTTCGCCCCTCACACAGAAACGATCGGTCTAACAATGGAATGTTTGCCCCCCTCACACAGAAACGATCGGTCTAACAATGGAATGTTCCCCCTCACACAGAAACGATCGGTCTAACAATGGAATGTTCGCCCCTCACACAGAAACGATCGGTCTAACAATGGAATGTTCGCCCCTCACACAGAAACGATTGGTCTAACAATGGAATGTTCGCCCCTCACACAGAAACGATCGGTCTAACAATGGAATGTTCGCCCCTCACACAGAAACGATCGGTCTAACAATGGAATGTTCGCCCCTCACACAGAAACGATCGGTCTAACAATGGAATGTTCGCCCCTCACACAGAAAGAATCGATCGGTCTAACAATGGAATGTTCGCCCCTCACACAGAAATGATCGGTCTAACAATGGAATGTTCGCCCCTCACACAGAAACGATCGGTCTAACAATGGAATGTTCGCTCCTCACACAGAAATGATCGGTCTAACAATGGAATGTTCGCCCCTCACACAGAAATGATCGGTCTAACAATGGAATGTTCGCCCCTCACACAGAAATGATCGGTCTAACAATGGAATGTTCGCCCCTCACACAGAAATGATCGGTCTAACAATGGAATGTTCGGTGTAACACTGAGAGACAGAATACAACAACAAATTCAGCAGAAATGCGTCTAACAAATGATGACTGATCTGCATGTTCATGAGGGAAAGAAGGATTTGATCCCCTTCCCAAAACATGACTTAGTACTTGGTGGCCAATCCCTTGTTGGCAATCACAGAGGTCAGACGTTTCCTGGAGTTGGCCCCCAGGTTCGCACACATCTCAGGAGGGATTTTGGCCCACTCCTCTTGGCAGATCCTCTCCAAGTCATTAAGGTTTGGTGGCTGACGTTTGGCAACTCGAACTTTCAGCTCCCTCCACAGATATTCAATCGGATGAAGGTGTGGAGACTGGCTAGGCCACTCCAGGACCTTAATGTGCTTCTTCTTGAGCCGCTCCTTTGTTGCCTTGGCCGTGTGTTTTGGGTCATTGTCATGCTGGAACACCCATCCACCACCCATTTTCAATGCCCTGGCTGAGGGAAGAAGGTTCTCACCCAAGATTTGAGGGTACATTGCCCCGTCCATCGTCCCTGTGATGCGGTGCAGTTGTCCTGTCCCCTTAGCAGAAAAACCCCCCAAAGCAGAATGTTTCCACCACCATGTTTCACAGTTGGGATGGTGTTCTTGGGGTCATAGGCAGCATTCCTCCTCCTCCAAACACGGCGAGTTGAGTTGATGCCAAAGAGCTGGATTTTGGTCTCCTCTGACCACAACACTTCCCACCAGTCCTCCTCGGCATCA